TCCCATGAAGCCCAGGTCAGGCCTCACTCTCTGCCACGCTAACACTGGTTCCCTTTCTATCCTTTGTTCTTCTCTTTGGATCATTCTCTTCTTGTTTCTGCTGCCAGAACCTCTGGACTCTGAACTAGCCGTCTGGTTTTCCTGCTTGCCAAAGTTTTTTTTCCTCTCTTTGCTTTGCTCAGTGTCGTTGCTCAGCCGGTAGTTCATGTTGCGTCTCAACCTGTAGCTTTATGTGTTATCTCTTGCCTCCTGGGAGTTTGTGTTATTTTGTCACCTGCACTTTGATTTCACTGTAAAATTCTAACTAATGATGTCGGGCTCTGGGTCCTCTGGTAACCTGTGACGTTATGTTTCCCAACTGATGCACTGCAATGACCTAAATATCTACTTAAACACAGCATCCTCACATTCATATCGTAAATCACACAATTAAATGGGAGAAATAAACAAATAGATCCCTAACCACAGGATGTATATTACTTAATATAAATGCAAAACTAAAGGATGCCATTGGCAGTGATTTCCATATGAGAGCTTTGTGTGTTTGTTTGAACATTTCCAGAGATGCTGCTTCACACTGAAAGTTATAAAAACACAAGACAGAAGAAAGTTAAGAAGTGAACAGGACAGGTGATATAATCTGATCTACTACAGGTGGTGATGGAGCACTGTGTGGACTCTGCTGCCCTCTGCTGGTGAGCACGTCAAACTCCATTGATCCAGTAGAAAACTTAAACTTTACCTTCATTTTTTTTTAATGGACATTAGCATGAATAATGTCTGGTAAATTATATATTTATCATGTTAGTCTTACTTATATTGGAAAGAAATATTCTGTAGATTTAGAATTTAACAATGTTAGTAATTTTTACACCTGTCTGAACCTTCAGCCCTGAACTTTCACACTTTGTATTTGTTTGTTTGCTTTTTTTTTAAGCATATTTTTATTTGGTGCCCTTCCTGCTAGATTTTATTGTTTTTATACTTTGTTTGTTTGTTTTACAGGGTAGATTTTATCCTGTTGCTAAACATCATCCTGCCTAGTTGTTTAATATCCAGCTGTTACATCCGAAAAAAATCTAAATATTTTTGCCCCCTGTTTCTCAAAATAATAATTGTTTAAAAAAAAAAATTTTTTACAGCAGTTAAACCTGCTTAAATATTATTTTGCATGTATTTACTGTTATTTTCACAGCTTTTTTTTTGCAGTTGCTGAAGGTTATAATATTCCATCATTATTTAACGTGTTTTTTCTGGTATCCTTGCTGCCAGATGTTTTCTCACTTTTCCCGGGTAGCTGTTGGCCTCCTGCTGACTATGAGCCGAGCTTCTTCCACCAGCAGCCCAACATGAGCCCACTGCTGCTGCAGCAGCTGGAGCTCCAGAGGAGCTTCTACCAGCAGATCAATGGTCATGTTGGACTGAATGGAGCGCTGTGCAGGTTGATGATGGGATGTCGGTCTCTGCCCCCCGTCTATACCCACGCATACATGCACGCGCACACAAGCACGTATCCCCCCTCGTGCGCCCCCGCACGCGGACACTGACAGTGGCCTCGGGGCACGCGGGACGCAGCCGCTGCGCTTCGCCTTCGCGGGTCACACCGGACCAGCCGCCCGTCTTTTTTTTTCTGAAACTCTCTCCCCCTCTCTCTCCGGAGCTCCGTGCCATTCTCTCTCTGTGTCTCTCTCTCTCCCTCCCCCCTCCTCTCCCACCAACCTCACCTCTCCCGGTTGCCTGGAGCCCACCCGCGGGACTAAAAGAAAGAAGAAGAAGAAGAAGGAGTGACGGGAAGAAGCGCGCCGCCGGCAGGGAGACGTGTTTCAGAGGAGGCGGTAAGCAGCTGGAGGCTGGGTGATGCTGAAGGGGGAGGGAAGAGGAGGGATTATCATCCTTCCACCTGCTGGATTATCAGCACCTCTCACGCTGCGTTCACTCCCCTGTGGGAGAGACCAGACCAAGGCTCAGCATCACACCAGAATCACTTGAGAGCTTTTAGACCAGATGGTAAAACTCTGATGTTTGGAGGCCTCATGAGATGTGCTGTTATTTATTCAAACAAGCTAAACCTGGTAAAGCTGCAGGAACAAACTGTTGTTTAAACCAGTCTTCTGTAGTGGAGCAGACCAACCTGCAGGACGTCCTCCTGACACTTTATCTTCCTGGTTCAGTAGAAACTGTGTCTGGTTGTCCATCTGTAGATGTTTAATGTTAACATGACAGGACACAGGTTCCTACAGGTTTTCTACTTGTTGATCTGCTTTAGATGACTTTCAATCATCAGTGCAACAAGCAGACTGAAGTTTTCCTTCATCACTAGCTGTTTGTTGAACTGATTATTTCTGTTTTTCCCTTTTTCTGCTGGACCTTTGATCCATCATGTTGCTCTCTTGGGGCCCAAACCTTGATGATGCTTGAGTTCGTCCACTCAGTTTTTTTATTTATGCACATTTCTTTTCCAGTCGTGTGTTCTGCTGCTCACACGTGGACGTCTTTACTCTCTGATATCTGCTCACACCTGCTGCACTTTTCTGTACATTGCACACCGTCGTGCTCCTTCATTCACTTTTTTTTTTTTTACAAATCTTTGCACATCTTTGGCGACGTGACACATAGTTTGTGCAACTTTATCCATCTTTACAAAAACAGCATGTAGCTTTACAAACTTTATGCACATTTATTTTCACTTTGAGGCGTTTTTCTGCACGTTGACACACAGACTGAGTGAGTCTGAGCTCTTATCAGTGTGTGGAATCGTTTCTTCCACAATGAACATTTCTCATATTTACATGCATGGAGTCGTGACCAGATGTAAGCGAGTCTCATCTAAACACCTCAGAATGTTTGTGGATGCACCATAAGCTGCTTGATTAATGGGCAGAACTGTCTTTTGTGCGACTGTCTGCACATCTTGAAAAGGGTTTCGGGGTGCACACGGCAGGCCAAGAGTTAACTGTTTGGGCTGTTTTAGCACAAAGACCTCTGATCCATCGAAAGCACACAGCAGCCAGGACAATGTCCATCTGGCAGCTTCTCCATTGTCCGCCGTGACAGATGGTATTTCATCACGTCAACACATCATGTACATGTACACACGCCGCTGATGGATTCATGTATCTATAGACGGCTGCGTGGCCCCGTCATTCGCTGGCCGGGATTCAACTGTACGGCTTCAGACACAGTGTTCAGAGCCGGCTTTAGCAGACAGGCTTTGAAACTTTAACTGTATGCATCACGACTGTAATATTTTAATCGTGTCCCAGCTGTTTCATCAGTCTGCTGCTTCTCATGAGGGGGAATCAGGTTTTTTATTTAGCATATCCCCTGTTGGCAGGTGATCACGCTGTCGGCGGCCTCCTGGTGGCTCAGACACACACACACACACACACAGCAGAGGACGCTACTGTAACTGTCAGAGTGTGTTCATGTCTGTGTGTGCTCATATCGGTGAATCCCGGGCAAACATTTGCCCCCCTCAGCATTCCTGGGATGTGATGAGTCCGGCATTCAACAGGGACGACCCGTTATCCACTCATTCACTTCCCACAGATGGCCGGCCTTTGTCCACGAACCGGCCGGCCGTGCACACGCTTGTGCACACAAACACTTACACATCTGTGAGCAAATGTACACTGTGCAGCAAATGCATGAGGGAGTTTTTCCTGCATGCATTTACACACATGATGACACAGTTGGTCTGTCTTTACAGAGGATAAAGAGCAATCTAGTGTTAGAACTGGACTGATGTGTCAGCCAGGGGGACATACTGGCCACTGCATATATGGCTGAAGCTCACCAGATTTCATATTTCATCATGCAGCACCATCAGGGAGTGACCTGATGGTTCCCAACTTCATTCTGCAGCACGACAACAAGCCCAAACACACAATCAGTCATCTTCAACAAGTCTGGCTTCATGTGTTTCCTCCTGATCTCAGCACCATAGAGTCATAGAGAGACACTGAAGCCACAGAGGAATTATGGTAAAGATGTCTGGAACAATCCAAACGTCCTCAAACGTTTGTCCAGTCATTTATAAAAGCTGCAGCCTGGAAACAGTTTTAAAGGCAGAGGAGGCTTTAAATGTACTGAGCATCATCTCCACTGCCCAGTTTGTAATTAGAGAGAGTTACAAAATGTTCAGGTATGGAAACTAAATCATTATTGATCCGAGTTTCTAAAACCCGGGTTTGATTCTTGGGGATCTGATCAGAGCGTTGTGTCTCTCCTTCCAGATACAGATTTCTTCTGATCTCTGGTCGATGGATTTCTCACTGACAACACAACAATATTTTAGTAAGTCTGGTTTTCTTTTCTTTAATACATTCCAGAGTCATTTTTAACTCTAAAGTGTTTTTCTTTCTTCCAGTTAGCGCTAACGTGGCTGCTGTGAACGTTGTCTTATTCTCACATGGCCAGAGCTTCTCTAATAGTCGGGACAGCTGCCTTGTTTTCTGTAATTGTGTTGGTAAAATGCCTGTTGACCAGCGTTTAAGACAGTAATTTTCCAATTATGCCGAGGCAGAGTAAGGCGCAGGTGTTGGTTATAGTTTGGCTAAGAGCTACTATTACTGAATAACTGAGTGCCGGATGAGGATGAAGCTCCAGAGATCCCCGTCGTCACCACAGTGCTTCTCGTTCTCGTATCTGTGAAGACTTTTGTGGCTTTCAGATGAAGAACTAATTCCAAATTTCCAGGCTAAATAGATGGATAGAATAAAATAAGCCTAACTCTAATCACTAAGCCTCTTACAATTAAACTATACATTCACGACCTTTAAATAAACACAGAACAGGACTAAGAAAACCATGAATGCTTCTTTTTCCTGCATGGAAAAAGTTCTAAGATATTGGACGTTGGTATTTCAATATGTTCAAGTACAAAATCTTCTTCCCCCATTTTCTTTTCAGTCAGTAATTCATTACCAGAACTTCCTGGTTGTTCACCACAGACTCTTGTTTCTGTCTCTCTGTCTTCAGGCTAGAAAATCGAGTGAAGCATGGGTGACTGGAGCTTTCTAGGGCGACTGCTGGAGAATGCTCAAGAACACTCCACTGTGATCGGAAAGGTATTGATTATTTAATATATAATACATCTACCTCCAGACTTTTGATGGCTTTTACATCATCCTCAGTCGTACTACTTTAGCCACAGCTTAACAATGTTCTAAAGACCCGGTTTTAATCAGAACAGATCAGACAAACAGCTTCTGAAGGTGCTACTTGAAGTAAAGGGTCAAAGATCACCAAGGAGCCTATTTGCATTATTCCAGCTGAAGCTATCTGCCCTCCATCATCTAACTGCTCTGTTTTCTAACCCCTCTGCTCTTCCTCTCCAGGTTTGGCTGACTGTCCTCTTCATCTTTCGCATCTTAGTGCTGGGTGCAGCAGCTGAAGAGGTCTGGGGCGACGAGCAGTCAGACTTCACCTGCAACACGCAGCAGCCCGGCTGCGAGAACGTCTGCTACGACGAGGCCTTCCCCATCTCCCACATCCGCTTCTGGGTGCTGCAGATCATCTTCGTCTCCACGCCCACCCTCATCTACCTGGGCCATGTGCTCCACATCGTCCGCATGGAGGAGAAGAGGAGGGAGAGGGAGGAGGAGCTCAGGAAGGCCGGACGGCACCAGGAGGACCACGACCCCCTCTATCACAATGGAGTCGGTGACGGAGGAGGAGGAGGTGGTGGGAAAAAGGAGAAGCCCCCCATCCGCGATGAGCATGGGAAGATCCGGATCCGCGGGGCGTTGTTGAGGACCTACATCTTCAACATCATCTTCAAGACTCTGTTTGAGGTGGGCTTCATCTTGGGACAGTACTTCCTGTATGGCTTCCACCTGAGGCCGCTCTATAAATGTGGCCGCTGGCCCTGCCCTAATACTGTGGACTGCTTCATCTCCAGGTTAGAAGTTATGGTTTTATTCCTCTGCATCATAGAGGCTCAAATGCCCGTTTTATCATTTGTGTCCCTTGTTTCTCTGTTTCTATTTTTCTGCTCCTTTTACCTAAAACTCTTCCACTGACCACAGCTGAAGCCCAACATGATCATCACTGTTCCTACACCTGTCAGTTTGTTGCTCATGTTGTACAGTCATAACAGTTTCAGATTAAACACCTGAAATATTTAGAAACCTTTGACACAACGGTTCAGTGATTTCAGACATTATGTTTCTATCCAGACCTGTCCGGTGTTGCTGGCAGATTTGATTAACTGTATATTCATGACCCTTATTAAACACAGAACAGGACTAAGAAACCATAAATGCATAGTTTTTCTGGCATGGAAAGAGTTAAAAGATGTTGGTTGTTTATGCTAAATATACACATGAAAGCTTTGCGGATTATATGTGGTAATGACAGAGCATATAAACACACAGTTTAAATGCGTTTAAGTTTCTCTCTCATGGTTTGGATGCTGGTTGTCCTTCCTACAGCAGCTACATGCACACCACTTCATACGTAGACAGACTGCCTGCCATGGTGCAGCCACTGATCTATGACTGGAGAACTGCTTTTGTCATTTTAAACTGCAAAAAATCTGTATTTATGTTTGGTTTGTCATATTTCATTTTCCTGTTTCCTGTTTAGTAAATGTTCTTTTATTTTGTTGTCTCAGGCCGACTGAAAAGACGATCTTCATCATCTTCATGCTGGTGGTTGCCTGTGTCTCTTTGGTCCTCAACCTGCTGGAGATCTACCACCTGGGCTGGAAGAAGGTCAAACAGGGCGTTACCAATGAGTTTGTACCCGACAGTGAGTCGCTGCAGCTCAGTGGAGACGAACGTGGAGACGCAGAGACGATTCCTGAGCAGACCTCTCCATCGGTGCTCAACTGTTTGCCAACGTACGCCACTGTGAGCGTGGTGAGGGCCGGAGCAGCCGGGGAGGGAGCCTACAGCCCAACCGAGTCCTCCCCCACAGTGATCTCCCTAAACCCTGACCTGGCCTCCGCCCCTGTACCTGCTGGATTCAAGATGGATGCACTGCGCTCAGACGAGCTCCTGCTGGAGGCCTTGCCTGCTTCTTTTTACAGCAGCCGTGAGAGGGTGAGCATCGGAAGCCATGGACAGCTGGCAGCCATGGAGCAGAACTGGAGCAACATGACGCTGGAGCTCCACAGTCTGAACGGAAAGAACTCCTCCTCCTCCTACCCTCCTCCTCTCCCCTCGCCCCCCACCTCGGCGTCCTCCTCTCCTCAGGAGGAGACCCCGCCACCTCCGGACGAGGAGCAACGCACCACATGTCCCACACTTCCTCGCAACACTCCTCTTTCAGCCCTCACACCGGACGAGACGTCGATGGACGAGGACGACGCCGTCGCCGCGGCGCCTTGCCTGGTCCAGCACGACGACTTCACCGTGGTGACCAGGGCAGAGATGCATCAGCCTCCTGCAGCCGCCGGGACAGACATCCGGAAGCCAAGTCGGGTCAACAAGAGCAGTGGTGTCCGAGCTCGCCCTGATGACCTGGCAGTGTAGCTAACACACACACACACACACACACACACACACACACACACACACACACACACACACTCACACACACTCACACTCTACCATGCAGACATTATTCATCATATTATTTAACACTCTACATATAAAAACACATATATTTTAAAATGATTACTTTAAGCAACACGACCAGCATTTCGTCAGTCAGCTGCTACAGATCTCCAACATGGCTGCCAGAGGGTGTGTCACAGCACCTCGGTCTCAGTGTGTTAACGCTTCCCTGTCCGGCACAAAGAGAAGAACGAGGCCTACTGCTTCCTGTTCTGGCCTTACTCTCACGTCTCCTTGAAGAAGGAGGAAAAGGAAGAATTGCAAACACACACACTTACACACATACACACACACTAAAGTATGCATATAACCAGCACAGACACGAATAAGGAAGGCTTATAGTGATGATGATGATGATGATGATGATGATGATGATTGGACTGACTAATAAGTTTTGGAGCGTAGAGGCAGCAATACTATATTCTTTTATTTTCATCTTTCTTTTGTTTCTTCGCTGGGAGACATACGAGGAGAGGTTTGCACTTTTTGTTTCTTTATTTTTTTCTTTTTCTTGTGACGTGATGATGGAACCGATCGGTCCGTGGGTCCGTGGGTCCGTGGGTCCGTGGGTCCGTGGAACTCGTCCGTCTCCGTGTGTCGCTCACACCCGGCCTGTAGTTTCAATGACGAGAGGGACGCACCGGTGTTAGGACGCAGCAGACGGCCAGAGAGCAGCGATAGAGCAGTCCCACCCTGAGACGTAGTCCTTAGGCTTCACAGGCTGTGAGTGTGAGTGTGTAGATGTGTGTGTGTGTGTGTGTGTGTGTAGATGTGTGTGTATTTAGGTACCTTAATCCTGTTTCCGTGTTTATAAAATGACATCTCTGCAGTTACATCAGGGTAAATTATATAAAGTATATAAATATGTAAATACATACTGAGCTTTAGTATCGATATGCACCACCGGATGTTATACAGAACTACCTACATTTTTAAAAAAGTTTGTCTCTGATTAAGCTGCAATTTGGAGCAACTTTCATCGAGAATCAAAAGAGCTTTTCTGACAGCGGCCCAAACCCCCTGTGTTAGACGAGGCGGGCCAAATGATAGGGCTACAAACACATTTTATTGTGTTCTTTACTAAACAGTTTGAGGCTTTGCAGCTTAAACGGAGCATTAAAACCTTCTTTCTGATGATTGTGCTTGCAGTGTGTTACAGACCTGTGGAGCTCCTCCTGGCCGGGCTGTATGGGAGGACTCCAGGTTAATTATCTAGATGAGCTGTAGAATAAACTGTAGCTTTTAGACTTTTTTTTTTTTTTGGAAAAAACAAGAAAGCAATACGATCTTAAACTGTTACCTTTCATTTCTCATCCCACGTGTTCACTTTCCCTGTTTTACTTATTAATTCCTGCCAAAAGAAAAAAAAGAAAAAAACATACAGGAATAGTTCTCAACTTCCCAATAAGTTTAATTTATTCGATTTTAATCATCAGGAATAAAAATATATCCTGATAACAAGGGAGAGTGGTTTGGGGCAACCTGTGCGTTGGGTTTGTGCATTTTTGTGTTTCTCTCTGAGCAAAATATGACTTAATTGTAATTAAGATACTTGAAAACAACAGTTGCTAGATCACACCAAAGATCATGTGTTTGAACACTTTGATGAAAATAACCAAATGAAAGCAGAAAACATGATTATGATCGAAATTCGTCATGTTCTTCACAACATTTCTGAAGAAACTGTAAATGTGCCGATGCAGCTGTGTCTTGTTCTAATTATACAAAAGGTATAACTTACAGAAGCACATTTTATTTTGAAAAGCCGACATGTTTCTCAAACTCCAATCAGTGCCTTCTGACATCTTTGAGCTTTTACTTTGAAAGTTTAGACAGTACCAATCAGCCAATCAGATAGAGGAGCAGCAGCCCTCGGAGCTGTGTCGGGAAAATGATTTCACCGCCTGAAGCTCAGTCTAGTTGTGAACAAGCTGATGTGTTGTCATGTGAATTATTCAGGTCTGATGGCAGGTTAGAGACTCTGGGGCTCAGATATAATGGGAGTCAGTGAGGGGCGTGGTCGGCACACTCGCTGTCCAATAATGAAGCTCACACTGGGTGAAAGAGGACAAAAATTACACATTTTTAATGTTTCATGTTCAGTAGAAAGTGTTAGAAGGAGACCAGGTTCAGGATCCATCTCAGCAACATGTTAATTGTAATTAGAGTCAAATCTAATCATGCTTCATTTGGCGCAGTGATCCTGAGAAGCCTTGTGGTGATTCTGTGCCAGTATTCCTTCCTGCTTTGGCTGCAGTAGCTTTGCTGCATTATATTCTTAAATCCATTACAGTGGTTTAGGAATACGGTTTGTTCTGATTGTGAGACGTATGCAGCCGTAGACCTGGCCGTGTTGGATCGTCTGGTGCCAGCACCACTTCATCATCTTTAATGTGAAGGTGCTCGATTCAGAAGTCCTGGGTTTGCTTAACGAGGTGATAACCACCATCCTGTGACGTCTAGCGTGACCTTATTTGTTGGACTCCGTGGTGCTGAGCTGGTAGAAGAGGCCTCAGGTCTCATCGTGTTTCACCATCAGCCACATAACACACGACATCGCTACTGAAATGGAGATGGTGCTACAGCCGTGATGCAGTCGACGTTTTATTGCAGCAGGCAAATCTCTAAGTGCCTTAAACAATGCTCATGTATTTCAATCATATCAAACACATTCCGTTCACTCATCTGCCTTAGTGACAATCTGGAATTTGCTCTAAAACATTTAAACTTTTTAGGTATAAATAAAAACCAGTGGTCTCAGTAAATGAAGACGTGTACCACTCCACACCTGTTTGGTGTGAACTGGAGCTCCACGCTTTTTAAAAATCATCAGTTATGGGCGTATACTGTCCCCCATTTGTTCGGGTTTGGAAGGCGACGTTGGCCATCGCTGTGTCGATCTTTTGAAATAATTCGTGACAAGTGAGGCGTGGGTCTGACTGAGAGCTCAAGGACTCAACAAGGCGATCCGCTAGTGGACTATTGACTACGATATACAGCGTTCTTTAACAGCTCGTCTGTTTACTCCAAATTGGGACCATGATTTAAAAAAACCAAACATCTGTACTGATGAGATCTGAGACTAGTGACTGACACCATGAACTAAACAGGAGGATGTTTACTAAACTCATGAATCAGGGGAGACGTGGGGTCGTTTTCTCATTGACTTCTATGCGGTCCAGCTTCTCGTAGCAGACGGTACAGTTGTCCCCTGACTGCTGCCAGAAAGAATGCATGTTTATTTAAGACACTTCTGCATTTAGCTGCATTTGTCAGGCTATTGGAGGCTATTTCCATTTTATATAGTTCTTCCTTTTATGCTTTTCCTGCTACGACCAGACAAAACATCCATCGACTATGCTGTGGTGCTGCTATGATTTGAGCATTTAAAGTTTTAAAATCAGCGATTTCAAACTGCACAAACCAACACAGGATGAGTTTACAAATGAAAAGCAAAGCATGCTGGTTGCAACACATTAGTTTAGTTAACGACAGCTCATGTTGACCAGACAGGATGAAACAGAGGCGGCACATTTCGCTGTTTGTGGACGGTGTCTCTTGTTTACAAGTCTGATGAAGCTTCGGTGGCAATAAACGAGTTCAGCACACGACAGCAGCTGAAATCTATTCTTAGTAAAGATGTCGCTAGCTATGATGTGTAGGACCCAAAGAAAGATTTTTACCAAAGCAATACGATGTGTGCCAAAGAGATCACAACACATGATGGACTCTAACCACCAGATCAGCTTTACAACCCATTGACGAAACACATTTTGTTGAACTTTGTCTCTAAAAGATTGTTGAAACAAGGTTTATTTGACTTCTTTCTATTGGTGAAATGTTTTTTTTTTTCTTCCATAACCTTGTTAAGAGCCGAGCTGTTCTTAGTACCTTCAGTATGTCGGTAAAGATTTGCACACTAAGTTATGATAATATGAAGAAGAAAAGTCCCAGAGGCTGTCCTACGAGGAGGGACATCAACATGTTTTTGTTTATTTATGGAAATAATGCAAACAAAGTTGGTTTGGATAAGAAATTAATCTAAAATGATTTGATTTTTCTGTCCTGAATCTTGATTAAGAGGCTTTTGGCTCCTCCAGTTTTTACACAATGGACGTGCCTTGAATTAAAGATCCTCTAAAGGAAAATGAAGGAGGGTGTGTGTTGGGATAACGATGGCGCACCAATGAGCAGGTGAACACTCCCACTTAGAAAAAAAATGAAGAATAACTCCTGTTATGACCCCCACTGTAAAATGCCTGTCTTTGAAGAGAAGTGCCTTGTGTCTGAACCTTTTGAACATGTTGATGTAAATGTTCATTTACCTCAGATGTTTACAGAACTGTCACTGAATAAACTTTTTGTACCATACCTGTTGTTTGTTCTCGGATACTTTGGGGTCCAAAAACCATTTCACCAGTTGTCCAGCATGAGTTGTAAAAACATGTGACACAACTGACTGTCAGCTAAAATCCTCCTGCAAAAAAGCTGCTAACATTAGCATGGTTTGCTAACTACTGTATTGTATAGTTGCAGTCTAATGGAATTTTAAAGCTAGCATATTATTAGCTTCATATAAACAGGACTGGAAATTGCAATTGTATTTTCATACAAACTAGGCAGAAAACATAAAAAAATTGTCTGAAGACTGAGTTTTCAACAAACTCATTAAGCGTTAGCTTATAGTTATGTAATTAGCTAGCTACTTAGCTAGCTAATTACAGCTAGCAGTCACTTCAGTTGCTGACTGACTTGAAAAAAGAAGCCTGCTTTTGTTTACACTGTATAAAAGGATGTATTATTTTAAAAAACCAATAACTTTTAAGCAATAATTATACCACTGTTGTATTTAAAACATAAAATGTACCCTGCTCTATCATCTGTTTTACTCTAAATACGACCATAACTGACAAAATTAAGAACATGTCGCATTAAAACAGTTTAGAAACCACCAACTGAGACCATAAATTCATTTTGAAACTGTTTTCTGAGGTAATAATTTAAGGGAGAAGTAGTGTCATTTTCTCATCGACTTCTATGAAGTCCGAGCTCTTTTTACCCAGAGGAGTCGCCCCCTGTTGGCTGTCAGAGAGAAGGCAGGTGTAAAACACTTCCACGCTGCCTTCACCTTTTAGAGGGTATGTTCATCTTTTACAGTCTATGATGGAAACGTGTCTTTGATCCTGCAGTGTAGTAATAACTTACTTTGCACTTAAACTGTTGAAGCACGATCTGCTGAAGACAGAAAGTCAGAACGTTGGGGGCATTAGCTTGAGGAATAAAAACCTGTTCCTGTTTGTTAGCATTTAGAATCAGAGTGTGTCTCGCTGAGCTTCGTGAAAGTAAAATCTGTCTTTGGCAAACAACAAAAACGTTGAATATAAAAGCTCACTGTGTATTCTGGGAATAAACATCTCAGCATGGGCTCTTTTGTTGGACTGACCTGTGGATTTGTCCCTTCTGGGACACCATACAGTCTCTCTGACAGCAGCTGTGCATTAACTGGAAACAACAATCTGATGGTGCCCGTTTCTAAATCAGCTAATAAATGTAAATGTTAATTATCTCATCGTGATGATGGGTCCAGCTATTCATTTGGCCTCACCGACGGTGGCTGTGTGTGTGTGTGTGTGTGTGTGTGTGTGTGATTGTGTCTGTGTGTGTGTGCATCTGTGTGTGTGTGTGTGTGTGTGTGTGCGTTGATGTCTCTATGTGCACATGCACGTGCGTCCTGCTGTGTGTCCTCATGCCGTCGCCCATGAAGCTGTGCTGAGGCCAGCGCTTCCTTTATGTTTGCTGAAAGTCCCGGGGATTTTGGCCGAACAAAAACCTCTCCAGGGAGTGAAAGGGCCTTGAATGCCTGTTAATGCCGTCCCGACCTCTGGACTCTTGCAGGCTGCTGTGTGTGTGTCTATATGATCCAATATGAGCGCAGACAGTCACTGAAAGTACTATATATTGTAATAATGAGAGCGATTGACGCTAAATTAATCGTCGTTCTGACTTTTGAAGGGTGCAGATGTAAAGTCTGGCGTTGATGTTGCAGAAAATGTCATTAAATTCAAACTGATTAATAAGCCTGGAGCAGTTCATTCATCTCATGAAAGCATGGAGGTGTTTGACTTCACGTAAACATCCTGAAATGTGTTGTGATTCTGTCGTTGCACAGCCTGACAAGCGCTTTGCTCTCAGCTGACTCGTCTTTGGTTCGACGCTGCTTCAGTCTTCACAGTGTATCTGAAGGAAACGTGATTGGGCCAAGTGGACTGTGCATCAGGCCTTTCTTGCAGAAAATCCACTCTGAATTGACTCCACACAGGCTGATCTTCAGTCTGCACCTGCCACTCAGTCCTAGAAATCGTTGACATCTCTTTATAAGAACTGCAGCTCCTTTTTCAGCTGAGTATTAAGTCAAGCGTCTGCCCCTTTTTTTATGATGGATGTTACTTCTGAAGCGATTTATGGTTGACAGAGATGCCTTAATATGTGCACTGCTGGGCTGAGCTGCAGCACATCATGGGTGTTTTCAGGGACGTAGACTAAAAACTAAATGTGGAGGCCAAATGTAAAAACTGGATGGAATCACCTGCATCACTGTGGTTATGCACCGAAATGTTTTCTGTTAAACTTGCCTGATAGATTGAAGGTGCAGGTCGGACACATCGTGCTGACGTCGGATTACGTCACAGCATGCACAGCTGCTCTCCAGCATTACTCGGATTTGCTGCGTTCTTGGCTTGTCAGAGGTGGAATAGAGATGCTTTACAGAAGTGATCAAACCTCTTGCTGCCTTTATGTATGTCTGCAGTCCACAGATGCTCTTAGTGGCAGAGTTCACGTTTTTAACCCTAATTTTCACATTCGAGCAGCACTTAAGCAACCCACAGCGGTGTTTGTTCAGACCGCAGAAGCTCTTTGAGGGCAATTGCTCTTAAAAAAACGAAGCATTTACACCACTCAAGCTCCTGTTTGGTGTGACATCCGGGGAGATGTCCCTTTAGGGCACCGACATGGAGGTGAAAATCTGTGTGAACTACACTAATGTCTTTTTAGACACAAACAGGACTTTAAGCTCATGTACCTGCGTCTGGTTCACAAAGTGTGCTGTGAAAAGTGGGGATTAAAGGTTGAGCATGGGTCAAATGGATCCACTAAACAGCAGAGTGGTGCAGAGAGAGCCAGGAGGTTCACAGGCACCAAGCGACACTTAATGTCCCAAACATGTGAAGGTTTCAGACGTCTAATAACCGAAAAAGGTCAGAAAGCTGCTATGAACAAAACCAGAGAGAAAGGCTTCAAGAAACTGCTGATCGACTGAATGCAAGTAGCAGCTAAACGTAATGAAATGTGTTCATTTATTCCAGGATGTGAACTACACGGGTGTCAGGGGGACATTTTGAACTTCACCAGCAAGCACCACACAGCGATGGGGACTGTTTGCAAGTGTCATGATTGAAGGTGGTGACGGGGATGGTGGTGAGGGTCAGCGTGCTTAGAGAGGTTGTCTGGAGGGCTGCTCGGGTGACGAAACATCGGTCTATTATGGACCCCCAAATGTGTGGTAATGTGGAGCCAGGTTGAGCCTGGGCTTGGTGGAGACAATCAAAGCTATGTTGCTCTATTGGTGTATTTTAGATTGAGTCTTATTTTATGCAACATCGGCCTAAATGTTTGATATCACGTCCTGAATACTGATGTAGAACCATCCATCCATCATCTATCCACCACTTCATCCTCACTAGGGTGGTGGGGGGCTGGAGTCTATCCCAGCTGACTCAGGGCGAAGGCAGGGGACACCTGGACAAGTAACCAGTCTATCACAGTATCTAGAACAAACCTGACAATAAGTCAGACTTACTGAAATAAGCCAGACTTACTGGGCAAACTTGTCTTTGTGAAACAGGCTCCCAAACATTCAGTACTGTATAAAGAAATGAAAAGAAAAGTTCATATTTCTAAATCAAAGCAGACTCTTCCTCACTCAGTGTTTGGGGCGTGAAGCTCATCATGTAGATATTTAAACATTCAGTCAGACGTTGGTACTGCATGCTGGTGTAGTTTAACAGTGGGCCTTGTATTATTCCTCTCTTTGTACAGTAGGTCCTCTAGTGGCAGATCTCTGACATCACTTAATGATCAGAGCTGGTTCTGATCACTCTCAGTTTCACACATGCAAACGGAAAACACAGAGATGATGCTTTTTCTTTTCATAATGAGAGTTTTTAAATAATAATCACTGAGAAAGATGGAATAACTCACAACCACCAGCACTGCAGTTTTCTTTTCTGCTTTTATTCACCAAAGTCAAGCTCAACTGCATGACGGTCGGGTTTACCCACGATCTTACATAAGAGGCTCACACAGCTCTCTTCTCGCCGTTGAACTTGTGATTGATGTTTGTTTCCGTGTTGTTGGTTTATCTGGATTCATTTGTTTCCCTGACTCTTAATCCTGGCATCCCATCATTGCTGAGGTGATGTTCTGAGGCTCAACAAGTATCCTGCCCATGGCCAGAATCATGGGGCTGTCGTATTGGTAAAACTGAGCGCCCTTGAACACTTTGACTCCATCAGCACCACACAGAGCAGCATCGATGTCAGAAATAGGCAACGGCACGTCGTTGGTGACAGCTCTGGGTGTGGCGCTGAGGTCGACGTCACGCATCCTGTTTCCTGTTGGGAGAGATATGTGTACAGTTGGTTGTTAATCACTGATGGGACCGTTTAGATATCTCTAAAGGTTTGTTAACATTCAAGCTGTACCAAAAACAAGAGCTGAACGTTCAGTACTTACCTTGGATGATATGAACTGTGTGTTCATTGGGACAGAGAAAAGAAGCGCTCACAGGTCCTTCGATACCCAGTTCCTCTTTCAGGGTTTTAGGGTAGCCTTCGATCAGGGTGTAGCGAGCGTCTCCTTTATAGATGTAAACCTTTTCATCCTGCAACAACAACAGTGATTTTAATTTCAACTCCAACGTAGATATGGAGAAGATTTTTTTTCTGGTTACTTTAAGGTCTACCTTCATCAAATACATTTTGTTCTGGTAGGAGAAGACGGCATCCACACCGCTGGTGACTTCTTTCCAGGCTCTGGTTATTGGGAAGCCGTGAAGGCCGTCACGATGGGTGTCCAGACGCATGAAGGAAGAACCTGAGCAGATTGAACAATTTCATTAACATGTAAGTTAATGAGGGCTCGGCGGTTAGCACCGTCGCCTCGCAGCTAGAAGGTCACCAGTTCGTGTCCCAGTGAGGACACCCGGGATCTTTCTGTGTGGAGTCTCCATGTTCTCCCCATGCAGCGTGGGTTCTCTCCGGGTTCTCCGGCTTCCTCCCACAGTCCAGAAACATGCTGAGGTTAATTGGTGATTGTAAATTGTCCGCAGGTGTGAATGTGAGTGTGCTTGGTTGTCTGTCTCTAAGTGTAGCCCTGTGATAGACTGGTTACCTGTCCAGGTGAACCTGCCTTCACCCTGAGTCAGCTGGGATAGACTCCAGCCCCCCATGACCCCAGTGAGGACTAAGGTGTATAGACAATGGATGGATGGTAAGTTATTGCCTTTGTTCTGTGATTTTGCTGGTTATTATCTGTAGTTTAACAAAACGGGGAAAATCATTTTTCAGTCCTTAATATACACTCATTTATCTTATGAAGAAGAAAAACATCCGTAGAATATTAATATTTTTGCTAATTTAAATACAGTAAAAAAAAATTTAAAAAAGGAGAAGAAGAAGCGTGGGCCTGTATTTTTTAGTGAACATGTAAATTAATATATTTTATCTGTGATTTTACTGGTGTATTTTCTAACTGGGGCAAAAGCCAGGCTGTATTATGCTAAGCTAAGCTAATCACCTCCTGGCTTTAGATGCAATTCAATGCTCAGTAAGCAATATTTCACATAAACGTTGCTTTTTTTGTGTGTCTAACTTTACCTTCAAAATAATACGTTTTGCCTGAATCGTCCGTGGTGATGGCGTCTAGTTTGATCTCGCTGCATTTAGGGACTTTGGAATCACCTCCATGACCTGCAGGCAAACACAAGATTGCACAAAATAGTTCACAACCACTCTGGTTCTGTTTCTTTTACTGAATATGGATGTTTTTAGATTGGTTTTCTTGATGAACGTACCGAAGTTAGGGCACTTCATGAAGTAATGGCGGGCATCCTTTGGGTATCCAGGGTCCACCTCTCCCGTTACCGGGTGGAACCGGGTGAAGTTGTGTCCGTGGAAGCAGTAGTAGTGCTCCAGCCACTGGACAACAGAAGTGCAAGGAGGCAGGTGGGACCATGTCTTGGTTTTCACCGTCTTTGTGACAATATCGTAAACATGCACATCTTGCCCTGTGGGGGAAACGATCAGTTACCAAACCTCGTTATAATGTCATCATTTATATGGTGCTGACTAATTAAACCACGTTACAATCACGTCTTCTGATATGATCTTCCTACAGTTCACTGATTCATGTTAAACTTGGCACCAAAGAGGAGAAACGTAACTAGTAAATACTATTTCGTTTACTTTCAAGCTGCTACAGAATTTGAGAACAACTAGTCCTGCTGTAGCCAATCGCCTCCAGTAGGGGGCAGCATTATCTTTATCATATTTTCCTCTGTCAAGCGAGCTCATTTGTTGAAGAATATTTCAGTTTTTCAGTTGCAATATTTCTGCAGCAAATGCCAACACACCTTTAAAAAACAGGACTGAGTCAGTTGTGCACTCTCCTTTGGGGCACTCTACAGCAGCATCCAGGTGATCAGGGACTCCTGGGAAATCGTCAACCATCTTTTTCGGATACCCGTCCTCCAGAGATCGGTTATAGTAGCTGAACACCCTGTCGTCCTGGAAATTTTATCAACAAGTCAAGATTACAGTCAGTACAACATATTTATGTGTCTCCTAATCTAATAAAGGTTTCTGTGGATCGTACCAAGAAGAAATAAATGTGATCATGGTCGTCTGGTTTTAGTGTATTGTGCATACGGAAAGCAGCATCAACATGACCGATATCATGGATGTCATCCAGCTCCTTGAAGGTTTCATTGGAACGCTGAGCAGGACCATGGAAACCTTTCCACAGGTATTCACCTGAGGAGGAAACGTCAGAGGAGCATGTATTCAGTTTGGATGAATATGTTAACCCTGTGCTCTTATGTACATGCCTCTCTCTCTTTTTTTTACATGCTAGAAGACATGTCATCAGTGAAGTGAGCAGTGAACGCCATGATAGTGCAGCGTACTACAGCGAACACAGATTCGTCCTTTCTGTGTTTCTAAGGAATCCGTGCCATCAGCGTCTAAGGTTGGTCTTTCTGTGTTACTATTCGACAGTTTCTGGTTTGGCTGAATTCCTCCAGTATCACTACTTTCTGTAAAGTGGCTGAGCAGAGTGTCAGCAGATTTGTAGGTTAAGAAGTGAACTCAAGACTTCATAGATCTGCACAAGGAGGCAACTGCAGAATGACATCTAAGACATTTTTAAATAAAAAAAGGATTATTCACACTGGGGGAAAAAAAAAAAAACGAAAATGTAACTATGATACACGAAGATGAATCTTTAAGGGTTAAACCAATAACCGGAACGGGACTTGAAGGATTTTATAGGAAAATATAGCTCATTGTCTTAGTCATTTTACCAAGAGACTGACCTTATTGAAGTGACTTGAGGAAATGTGACACAGTCAGGATATTGGCAAGCCAATGTAAAGAGAGACTCCTGATAAAACAAAATGCTCCACACCTTTAAAGAAGAACATATCTCCATTCTCATCAGGAGCGATGGCATCAAATTCAACACCAGCACATCTGTCTGGCACAGCAGCATCTTCACTCCCAAGAGAAAAAAACAACACACTTGTTATCATCAACGTAAATGGAACTGTGAAACTAGAAATACACATCATGAGACACATGACGGCGTTGCTCATTAGAGATGTGATTGATGCTGTGTGATAGACAGCTATGTTTGTAAAAAAAGAAAAACCCACCATTTCCCGCTAAATCAGGTGACGGCCTGTGGATGATAAAATTGTACAACGTTAGTTTTCTACACTTCAGCGCAGCGCCACATTTCGTTTCATTTCCAAAAACAGAGTCGTGAGTCAATCAGTGACACAGCACCAAGGCGATGTGATGACTCAGCAGTCTGGGATTTGTTCAATTGATCCAACTGGTGACCTTTGTGAACTAGCAAATATACTTATGAAATGAACCGACGGTGACTCGAACTTTTCCACTGCTTAACTGAGAGGAGAAAATCCTGTTAAGTTGAAATGGTCCAAAACAGTTGCAAGAGGCTGGACAAAATAATGTGAACAAATGTCAGTTGTACAACATGTCAATAAATAGCTGGTTTATATTTTTCTGTTTTATTATGAAGAATAGCTTAAAAGCTTACAAATGACGCTGTTGTTCTAAAACTATTACAATTATTTAAATATCCAGATGGTTCCAGATTGTTGTTTTTTTGGTCAGCTGTTGCATTAATTGAGTTTTTGTTGCAGCTCTAATATGTTGATGTGCTGTTTTAGTACAGATCAGGCAAATTAGTTAGAAACCTGATGACAGATTTGAAAATGAACCTATAATGTTTTGCCTTAATAAGCAAATTCTACACAGAGCTTTGACTGTTTGAAAGTTGCAAATAAAAGAGGATGTCACTAGTGAAGGACTTTGGGACCAGGAATGACCTATTTTGCAAACAAATCCATACAGATAAGTGGAACTCATTATTACTCACGCAGGTACTGCAATACCGAGGCCAAGTGCCAGGCACAGAATCAGAGTTTTGGTGAACAGCTTCATGGTCGTCCAGGTGAAGTCCTCTGATGTAGAGTCTGACACCGAAGCAGAGCTGTGAAGTGCAGCTATGCAGGAGCTGAACCTGAACTTTTATTCTGAAATGTGTGTGTGGGTGGACAGGTTAGGGACCTCTATGTGTGCATAGGTTTGTTTGCATAATCTCAGTTGAAGGTTTAGTTGTTGCATAATGAAGCTTTGACATAATGCATTTCCTGTAAATGTGGATGTTTCTCAAATCAGGACAAATCCAATTTTTCCACACAAGACTCTTCTGTGTATGCAGATGTTTTGGACAAAATGTGCACGACAGAAATATGCAAAAGCTAATGAACACCCGTTAAAGTTGTGTGGTAAGGTGTGGTTAGAAATAGATCCAGAAAACAACACGATTGTTCAAAGATACATTTGAATTAAAGTTTAATGATTTTTATTCAGATAAACTGACAGTACAAAAGTCATTCTGCCCCTCCCAGGCTTAAGCTAAACTAAACAGTTTGAGCTACTGATTCAACAAAAGAAATTACATGGAGTCACAAATTTGTCATTTGATGATTAATTATCCACATTTTTCGCAGTATGGTCATGCTATACAAACATTCTACCATTAAGGACCACTCTGCTGGATTGTAGACTGCTTTGAGGAAAAAAGAAAAGCATCTAAGCATGCCTTTGTATTTATTATTTACTTCTGTCTTTTGAGCTAAATTTACGTAAAGAAAAAAGTACTGATTATCTACATTACTGATGACCATAAACCCTTATCTCATTTGGAAATCTCATCTAAACATGATCATATCAAATTCTAATAGGTAAGAGGTAGAGGCTGTAAATTATACTCACAAAGCTCACAATATAATTTTCAAAGGATTTTGACTTCTGTCACAGATTTAACCATCTCAAATCATGAGAGCAATTAGTCATAACTCTAGCCAATTTTGTTTCTTTCTCTCTCTTCACCATCCACTGTAGTTCACTTGTAATGGTAGATCTTGATGCAGTGATTCATGCTGTCTGACACCACAACGTGGCCATCAGGAAGGAGTGCCAGACCCCTTGGGCTACTCAGGTTGTCGGTCACCAGAGGCCAGCCAACGCCCTTGGATGGGTAGATAAGAACACGGTGGTGCTGCTTCCCCCAGTCTGCCACTAACACATCCCCATCGCTGTCGATACAGAGGCCCCAAGGGCAGGTCAGGATGGGCCCCAGCCCGGAGCACACGCCCAGGATTCGGATCGTGTTCCAGCCAGGCTCCAGGACTCGAATGCATGGGACTCGCCCAGTTTCATTGCCTCGTTCTGACACTGCCATGAGCCCAGTGGTGAGACAAGCTGCCACCAAGTAGGGCCTGTGGTACCCGGTCACCACTGTGCGCTCTAACCTGGTCCCAGTTTTGGGGTCCAGTTTTAGGGCAGTTAAGCTGCCACGTTTGATGTCGGCAACCAGGAACTCATCTTGACGGGTAACAGTGACCCCTCTGGGAGCATCGAGCTCTTCATTGGTGGAACCAATCGTTGTGCCTCCAAATGTTTGCAGGAGGCGTCCATGACGGCTGAACACCAACACAGCTCGTTCAGCAGCGCAGGTCAGGGCGATGAGGCCCTTTGAATTCACAGCCACATCAAAGTAGTTGCAGATACGTGAAGACCTCTCTGATCCCGAAGGAGACACCTGCTGTACAACATTCTTCTGGAGATCTGTCACTTGAATTCGGGCATTACCACAATCCACCACAAATAACTGCCCTCTGACAGTTGCATGGACACCACTTGGTAGGTTGAAGTCAGTACGGCCTGATCCTTGTTTTCCAAACTGTTTGACCAGATAAGCGGAATCAAGTGCAGTTGAACCACCTTCTTCCTCCAATTCTCCCAGCGCTGGCACAACTTTCCTGTCCTTGTTGTATTGTTCTGGTTCCTTGACTTGATGTAATTTGTCACCTTCGATGGCTGACATGGAAAGAGATCTGCTCACATGATTCAGACTTAATTCCTGTGTGACACAAGTCTGGGATCTTGATTGTCGTTCATCAGAGCTTAAGGTGTTTCTGTCAGATTCTGTGCCATGTGGTTGTCCTTGCTCAAGAGTTGAAGGTTCGGAGGCCAGACGCATTCTGTTGACCTTTCTGATTCCTCGGCGCTCAGTCTTATCACCATTAATTAAAGCTCCCAGTTTACCGGAGAGGTCAGCTGTGGACATTGAGCGGCACTGCTCTTGCTTGAGAGATCCATTTGCTGGAGTATTCACAGTGTAGGTGTAGCAGGAATCCTCACTGTCCACTGGGGATGGAGGGCTTCCACTGTCCATTGATGACTGATTTGAGGTCTTTTTCTTGTAAAAGCCTTGCTGAGAAAGCACAAGACGTTTAGAGGAAAGATCTACAAGACTGCGCCTGGTGAGTGAACCTTTGCGTCTAGTCTTTGGAGATGCTCGCACATCACTGCTTTTGTTGTCAGCTTCTTCAGGTGGACAGGATGGTTCTTCACATGAAACTAAGACAAGGGCCTTTTGCTTTCTTTTACCTTTCCCTGTGCTGCGCCTCTTTGTTCCAGTTTGTCTGCCATCAGAGTCATCGCCTTCCGACTCTCCTTGACTGGACACTGGTGGAATGGCAAGAAAAAGGTCTTGCCCCTGTGTGTCAGAACACACAGACTCCACTTCCTCATCTTGGGAGGATTCAGATACACCACGACGTCTTGGTATGGGAGACTTGGGTGATTTAAGCTCTTCGTCATTCTCTGTAGAGCTTGACAGACGTAGTTTGCGAACAACACGCATGGTCCCACTGTTGGTCTTATTGATCTCCTCTGGACTGTACTTTTGCCCACCTCTGTTTGGTTGAGGTTCCTTTCTAATTTCTAGAGGGGTAATGTTTGAAAATGCTGTATCTCCTGAATGCAAGGCACACTTCTGTCCCTGGACACCACAGACACCAATGGGGTAGGTCATACCTTGCTCGCGGACATCAACTTCCCCTAAGCTTAAGGTCTTGGACTGGGGGCTTGATAAGAAACTGACCCTTTTCAGTGTTAAAGAGATTTCCCATGGTTGGGTGACCTCTGCCACCCCTCTTTGGAGTTGATTTTTGTTGGATCCACCAGCGGTACTGCCCCATCTTTGTATCTGTTCCTTCAGTTGTCCAATTTTTCTGAGATGCTGATCAACAAGTGACTGCACAACTCTTGCTGCTGCAGCATTCTCCCTCTTCACTTGACTAAGGTGCCGCTGGGCTTCTCTGTGGTCCTGCTCGATTTTTTCAAGAAGACGACGCTCCTCTCGCTGAGCTTCAATCACAGCATTGTCCAGTTCACGGTTCACTTCCTCCACTTCGGCCTGCTGTCGCTCCCTGAGGATCTGCAGCTCTTGTTCTCCTTGCTCTAGGCTGGAAAGAGCCTGGGTCACCCATGGTGGTGGTGAAGTTAGAGATGCGGGTGTAAAGATGGACTCCCGTGGTGTGAAGGATAGAGGAGGTGGGGAGGTCGCATCTGCCTGTTTTGGTATGCTGTGTGTCAACAGGGCTGAGAACCCAAGGAGGGCTCTCCTTTCAGAGTGAGACCTCATCAGCATTGTATCAGTGGTAGATCTGAACAGTCCTCTTGTCAAGTGAGGTTTCACTTTTCACTCCTTTATTCTGTCTGTAAAGACAAAGAGAGAGACGCAAAACAAAAATGTGGTGTCATTGAAATCCTGTTACAATAAAAACAATCACACAGTAAAAGAATCAACATGCACATAGGAAAACCACAGACCCTTACATCAGTTAAGGCATTACAGATTTTATGAGGTGTTTTTTTAGAAACTCTGTAGCTTCATAACAAGACTTGTGGAGAGATAAAGAGCAACACTTAACTACAAGGCTGAGCAAATTTGTACGAATAAAAAGACTGCATGTGATAAGCGTGTCTTGGCTCAGAGCATCAGTCCCCATCAGTCACCCTGTGCTGTTTTGTAATTTAACTCTGCTGTCCTCCAGGAAAGCGACCTGACCTACCTGTTGACTGAGGTGTATCACATAAACCCTTTGAAGGCTTGTGTACATCTCTGACGCTGTTTTAAAACTGGGACACTGGTTCCCTTTCGTTGCAACTCTATCTTTCGTGCACAATATTCAGTTTCTCACGAGACTCTCAAGTGCTCTCAGGTAACCACTGCTCTGTTTCCCTGAGGTCAGCATTGCATTCAAACTTCCACTCTGCTGGCAGCCACTGATCACTACAACAATAAAATGTCCTAAATTGGATGCTAATGAGCAGTGTACTAAAGCATACCAGATGCTAGTAATTACCAGAGTCATTCTGTATGTCTCCTTATTGAGAAAAACATCTTAAATGGATTATTTCCTGTGTGTGTACAGTTATGTCTGATCTCAAATATTGGTTGGATGCTGACTGCGCTCCCAGCTGAGGCAGAAGGGATTGTTAGCTTTTGCTTACCAAGTCACTTCTCTTAATGTCACTCATCATGAAACCTCAGAAGTCTCAATAGTTGCTTCCGAATGCAGCACAGACTCCCATTGTCACTCTTGGTAGAAACAGCAGCGCTTATCTGCTCCGGGCATTGAAACTGAACTCCGTCTTTCATCGCTGACACAAGGTATGCGAGACGCTGCCAGGAGAGGGGTCAGTGCTTTCAGCAAGTATACGCTTTTTATGAGCATGAATAAATGGATCATATTCTGAATAGGTAATCGTGGTTAGGAGCGTGTATATATTAACGGTGTAGACCTGGGCTGAGAGGCTTTTACCCCCCTAGAGTGAAACAACAAGGCTTTTGCGAGGTTGAAAGGTGCAGGTGTCAGTTTACTTGTGCGTGTTCACAATAAGGTCCCCCTGGAAACACGTGAACTCAGAGTGTCAATGGATAAAATCTGTTTCCCATGTTTTAAAAAGATGTCAAAGATGCTATCTGGGGAGGGGGGGCATTTGTTGCATGCTGTTTAGGAGGTCGAAATTGCACTTTAGAAGGAATTTAAAAGAGACATTTTGAGCAGGTGATGATGGAAAACACGTCTGAAGTTCAATGAAATCTACACTTTCCACACACACGGGCCGACGGGTGGATATAAAGAGGATCAGTATGTCGGTCAGGATGACGGAAAATGTAGGTTATGTGTCAGCAGCAAATCCCTGTCAGTCTTCTGGCGTGAGGTCTCCGGGTCTTCTCATCTTACCCCACTTTAATGTTGAATGAGGGGCACTAGTTGCTAAGTTACCAGACGGCCGTCGCTGAGGTGCTGAGACTATAGAATAAATGATACCATTCATAATTGAGAAGATTATGCAGGATGTTCAGGAGCATTCCAGCGTATCGAAGCTACACAATGGAGCTATTCACTGCAAGTTAGAGAACACTAAGGCCAGCACAGGTAAAGAACTCTGAAAGGTTTACTTAAACGGACTTCAATCAGTTAAAAAAAAGGAATCCATCGTCTGCAGCTAATTGCCCCACAGACGACTTTATTGGCATTTTAAAATATTCTTTCAAGTATATTTGTGCAGCAGAACATTTGAGTCACATCATCAAGAATGAAAGAAGAGATTATTTGGGTACATGAACAAAAAATAAATCTCTTGAAGTAATAGCAAAGTTGGGGAGGTCCTACCTGGATTCCAGGTGTGTGCTGCTTCCTCTGCTGCTCCCTCTGCTCTGTCCTGCCGCCTCCAGTTCTTCCTCCCTCCTCCATTCGCTGTCACTCCCCCGTCTCACCCCTCTTCCCTCCCTCTTTCTCTCATTGTATTCTTCACAGGTTGCATTGTTGTGTTGTGGATTTCACTTCGTCACAAAGATTAGCGTCGTAAACAAACTTTGAGATGGAGCGAAATGTGTACATGTTGTTAAAACATCACATACAAGCCAGTTTTGGGATTGGTTGATGTTTACTATCCTGCAGTTCTGTCTTAAAGTTGAAAGACTGACAAAAATAAGACGATACAATGCAGTGCAATCAAATATATTGTTGATGGTTTTGTCTTAGACTCACTTGCTACAAACCACAACTCCAGATGAGTCAAAATTTGTGAGTTATTGCAAAAACTAAAGATCAAGGCATTAAATATGTGAATAAGAGTTAAGAGATGAACCTTTGAGACACAACAACTGCATCAAAAACACTAAAAGGCCAAAGTCAGGCTAGTAGAGGGATGCAGGAGGAGTCTGTTCTGGTACGTCTAATGTGTGTTCTCTTTTTTGTTTCGGTCCTGCTCCATACTGTATGTAATTTATCTGAGACTTCTTAAGTAAAGCAAGACTGCTACGGACAGAAGTCTCGTTATCTGCTGGTCTGATGTAAGTCAGGATAAAGATGTAAAAGCATCCTGAT